GTGACTGTTTAAAACCAAATTTGTACTTTCACAAATTTTTCGATTTTGTTCAGTATAAATTTCAATATTCTTTTCCTTGATTAAACTACGCATTTTATTTGATAAATATTTTGTATCACCAAACATGATTGCATATAAAAATCGAATTGCTCGACCATTTTTAGGAAAATTTAGTTCGAAAACGACATACATTGCTAGTACAAGTGCTAATCCATCATCAGGTGATGTTGTTGAAACAATTGAAAGAAAATCTGTATATACATTGATTGTATTATCAGTACACACCATTGATGGATATGGACTTGATGGTGACTAGAAAAAAAATGTTCACGATTAGCAAACCAAAAAATACTTGTGTGCTATATAGCCACAATATGTTGCTCATTCTGATCAACTCGTGTGAAAATATGCTGAGACTATCATATCATTCTACATAACGATTAGAAGTTTTTTTTTTCTGTAAGATTCAAACAATAAAAACGTTTGTAATATTGGTACATCACACAAATGCAAGCTATTTTTGGAAACTATTGGTCTAAACTATTTCTTTCTGAAAAAGACGCGCAACTATTTATAAAAAATTTTGTTTCATTAGTTCAATACGAACATTTCATCTGTCTGTCTCTGTAAAACATAAAAAAGATGCATCTTCCAACGCTACAGCAAAGCACTTACTGTATTGCAATATAAATGGTGAATTGATTCATCAAATTGACGACAAAGCACACGAATAAGTTGTATTGGTGGAGAATCTAGAAAGACACACGATTATTTGAAATATTGTAATTCATGTTATAACCTGTAATAAAAGCAGGTGTTGCAATAATCTTTTCAAGTAAAATTGGTATTTGACGACGTACGACAGCACGTAAATCAGCTCCCATTATCATCTTTACTTCTTCAAAAATCTATTGCAGAAATAAATTTATTAAATGCAAATAAAAGAAGTTACAAAAAAACTCACCAACATCGGGTCTTTATATCCAGGAAATTCTTCAAGAATTTCTGATGTTGTTTGATTACGAATAGCTTTACGTCGAACATGAAGAGTTTCTTTCCATAACTGAAGTAGAATAGTAAGATCAAGTTGAGGATCATCACGTAACTTTTTTGCTTTATTTTGAATAACAATTAATGTATCATCATCGTAAGTTATCAGCATTATCTGAAAAAAAATTAATCAAAAGCCAAAATATATGTAATAGATATTTACTTGTTTTTGTCGATCTCGTTCAGCAACTTCACCAGTCATTTTTTTGACTGGACGTCCAGATCCAAATTTTGAATATCTCGACTGATAAGCTTTTACTTCTTCATTATCTCGATGTTCAAAACGTTTTCGTTTGAGTTTAGTTTGAATAGCATCTTTCCAAATTCCCTAGTTAAAAAAACAAAAATCTTAGCTAGTACATATACGATGGATCAAAACAATAAATACTTGGGAAATGATTATGTCTTTCTGTATTAGAGTTAGTTTCTCAATCCTTAGCTACAAATGATAATCTAATTTTGAAAATGAAACAACTTGAAAGTGTATCAGTCATCCTCTCTTCTACAGTTTCAAGTTATTCAGAGTTTGAATGTTGATGCCTTTTGATTCTAAGATTGAAAGATATCAATCCATAAAGTTCCATTATAAGTATGCATGTGGTTTACGGCATCTCTATAAAGCAAGCTAAAAATATTCTTCAGCTATGTATACAATTGTTTTAAGCTTTGGATTTCTTTTGGCACATTATCGAAAAATATATCCAAATTGTTGTAGAAATAATGTAAAGAAAAAAATCAATTGAAAAGAGAATATTTTAATTAAATATAAAACAATCGAAGTTTGATTTGTTTCATCTAGCAAATCTCTACTTTAAATATGAAATGGATTCTACTGACTAGACTATTTCAAGTCGAGAATCAACTATGCTTCAAATTATAACTGGAAATAGTAATTTTATTGAGTGTTAGAATTGCTAAATCGTTTCCAGAAAGCATATCACTGCATATCTCGTTCTCCTTATGACAAAATGCTATTGTATTATTCGGATTTCTTTATACAATGTTTTGCTTTCCTTTTTGGTTTAATTGAAAAATTACTTTTTTTTATTTATTAGCTATATCGGATACTAATGCTTCCTCTCTTAATAGATGAATAGGAAACGTAAAAGATACAAACAACACATGAACCAAATAAATTGCGCAGATTTATATTCAAAAATTTTCTATCGCATTATTCATTTAAGTTAAATAATAAAAGTCGACTTACAACATTGTCTTTTGTTAATGGTAATTTCAATTTACGAACAATAGCTGTACCTATATCATCAAATTGTTTACGAGTTGGATAGCTAAATAATAATAAAAAAATCAATAAAGAATTAAATTCAACGAATATGACATTAAACTGTTTATTTATCCAGTTCCTTGATTGATAAAGATATTGTAGTATTAGCATTGTCTGTTTTGTTTGAGACAGGAAGAAAACTACTACGGCAACCAGAAATCTCACATTTCATTAAAATCTTGACAGATTCAATATAGACTTGTATATGCAAAAGCGCCCGATCATTTCAGATAACCTAAAATAGTTTTCAGTTCATTTTACTGATATAAAATAATTTTCTCATGTACTGTATGCGAGAATAGATAAATTTCGTCACAATACCGATTTGCCTACTTGAAAAATTACTAGAATTTATTGAACACATGTCAGTCAGAATTCAATTACTTATTAACCTTTTTTGAATGAATCTACATAAAATGTGTGAAAGACGGAGCAGCTCAAAAAAATAGTACTAAAAATAGAAATTGCTTCAATAAATATTTCAAATTTATATATGCCACAAAAAGCACTTTATGAAAGAAGTATGCTTCACTCAAGGAGCATAAATTATGTCTTTATTTGAAATCACTCCAGGTCGTTCGTAATTAAGTTTAACTTACAGAAGATTGAAATTGTTTATTAAATCATGAGCTATTATATCAATAAGTACTTGACGATTAGCATGATGTGGTGCAAACTTGTGAATTGCACCCGCTTCAATATCTTCAAGTAAAGCATTTGGCAATGTTGGAATAACATATTGATCAGGAAAAGTTAAATTTATTTCTGATTTTGTTGATGATTTCTCTAATATTTGATCATTCATACTATTATCTGTTAAAAAATTAATTTGTGATTCGAAATAAGAAGAAGAAACTCTAGAATTTAATGTAGAACTTGATGATGAATCAGTAATGATGATTGAACTATCGTCGTTGATTCTAAACAATTTTTCTCGCTCTCGTAAAAATAAAAGCTTTTGCTTTAATTTTGGAAATAATGTTAATTTTTCAATGCTGTCCATCATAAAAAGAGTTTCACCATCAATTTCGTGTTCTAAAAAAATATGTAAGAGATATAGTTGTGCTGATTAAAAAAATGAAAATCTTAAGACTCTTAATTTTTTAAGGAAGCTCCACACTTAGTGCTTTATAAAATTAGAAAAGACATCATGTTTTTTCTTTTAATATTAAAAATAATTAAAAGGATATGGATCTAAACAAAAACATAACTTTTAAATGTTTTAAATACACTATGTTTCAAATCTTAAGTCTATAGTAAATTTGTCTATTCTGCTGATGATTCAGGTAGATGATAAGGTATCTTATTTTAGTAAAGTAGCAAAATTTATTATTGTCTCTAATCTGAAAAATCTATTACATATGGCTATTCTAAATTTTCGTATTTGAACATAATACGATGATTTTCAGTCGCATAGTGTTTCTAATATCTATTGATATAAAAAGAAGTTTAGAAAGATTTAATGATGACCAGATGTAATTAATTTTTTAGTTTGATCAATAAGAAATTTATATTTATTTCAATCAGATAAGAACTTCTGGGATACTATGTATCAATACAAAGTGAGACGTGCAGAAAATGAAACAAAACTTGAGTTATCTAACTCATAAATATCAAGTCCTTTATAAAAATATTTCAGACAATATGGATCAAGCATAGAATAATTATTCTTTGATTTTATCTCCCAAGCACATAAATTCTCATTGTAGCCAATAGTTTCCAATAAGTCCACCAACAACCACCATTTGTAATTCATTTTGAGAATACGAACTACTTGAGCAAATCTTGGCGTTTCATGAACATTCATTAAATCTATTATATAAACACTACCACGACGATATTCAACATTTTGATGACAAAACTTCTTGCATTGTTGTAAATCTTTACTAAAATCAATATTACCAAAATGACTAATCAAAATCTGTTTCATTAGAGTATCAAATAAATTATTTTTAACTTTTTGTATTACGATTGCTTGGTCGAAGCTGTGCAATTGAATCGTTCTACATGATGTAAATGCTTGTTTTAATCGATATCTAGTAGCCAACATTTTTGGTATATTCTTGTAATTATTTGATCTTAATGAGATCTTTTTGAAGTATGAGTGAAATGCTTCGTAACGCATTGACCATTGTTTGATTGCTGGACCATAATCATTTATAACTTGATCATATTCTGTACAAAAATGCAACTTTGGAATAATTTTAGATGGAAAGTGAGTAAGCATCGATTGATGTAGAGCATGAGTTAACTCTTGAAGAATGGGTAACCATGATCTTCTAAATGGTATTGAAAGAACTAGATCAATTATTTCACGTAATTGTTTGTACACAATAATGGATGGTAGTTTATCAATAAGATCATAAAAAATGATTGGAAACAATCGAAAAAGGCAAAGCTTTTGTGAAGCTGTAGCTGCTATTCGATCTTTGTTAAGGTGCTTGATGAGGATAGGAGGAGGTCGATCGACTGCATCAAAAGAACCATATTGGAAATTTTCTGTGCGTTCTTGAATGCGGGCTTGAAAATTAAGACGAAAGAAGAAAAATGAATGAAATAAAAAAAAGAAGAGATAAAAAATAAAAATAAAAGATTAAAAGGTGGCGATTTTCATTAGAATAAAACAATCGTTAGAAAAAGATTAATAATAATGAATCAATTATAAATGACTGTATTAATTCAAAGCTGTTCGTCTTTTGAAGTCTTTGTATTAACATATGATTCTACCAAATCATGGTATGATTCTATTGTTACATTAATATCCTAAGCGTTTAAAAATAAATAGAATTGAAAATTTGAAAAATTACTACGTATTTACATGATCTGCAAACGTCATGCATTACTGGTTGGCTTTAGCATTAACTATCGAAGATTTATATGCTAAGAATAATTGTTCATAAATGTGTTATAGATATGCTTGTTCCTATAACTGTACAAAGTTTCTATTAGGTAAGATCTATTAAACTATTTTTTTAAAAGCTACTCGCGTTTAATTTTAATTCAGTTTCATAAGTGTTTCAAATTTTTACTACCATAGCCATTTTCTTAACTGAACAGTTTGATTATTAAAATTTTAAACATGAGAATGAGTTTTTCCTTAAAGCTACAATAACCTATTAGGAGATACTTTTCATTAAATTTTATCAAAGCATTATAGAATACGAATAATATCGATTATAACTGATTCATAATCATTAATCGTTCTTAAGTTACTCATTCCAATCTTCTAATGAACATGTTTTCAATGGAGATCTCATAAAAAGACGAAAATCGATTCATCTCAATTTCCTTTTTCAAGTACACATTACAAAATTCTATTTATCATTGATTTTCACCCGATCTTTAGATAGCAAGTGATATCTCACCATAAGTTAATAAGTGCATTGATGATGCTTCTTTAAGCAAACTTATGATAACTATCGGACAAAGCCCTTCCAAATAATCGTGCATAAGATCAGCTGGCAATGATGAGATCGGGTGATAACCAAGAAGATTATGAAGAACACTTTGACCGACGACATCCATCAATGGAGAATTGCTTGGATTTGTACTGATCTGTTGGACCAAATCATCATGTAGAATACTGGTTCTAATTGCAATATTCATAGCTGACATAGGTAAGTTTCTTTCTGGATATGTTATGAAGCAACGTCGACAGAAATGACCATTACTAAAATTGGATTGGAATCCGCCGATCTGATGAGCAGCTAGGTTATCAGCAACCAACGTTGAAAAAGAAAATTTTATCCGATGATCATTAACAACAAGTCCTTCAATTTGCAGCTGATTAAGATTGTTAATGATTGGTTCAAAGAAGCGTTTAGCTTTAGCATGATCCTTAACAAAATGTTCATGATTAGCAGTTTATTCGAAAAATATGGTATCACTCCTGAGAAAGTCAAAAACGGTCCAAATTCTATTCACGAAGCACAATATGTGAATACTCAAGGTAGTCTAATACAGGGTATCCCAAAATTATAGGACGCCCCTCAATTTCTGAAAACAATAAAGGTTTCTCTAATGAAAGAAGGTTTCATTTCCAATATAAAGATATATCTATGGACATCTAATAGTGGTCTATTATTTGTGGCATTGATTTGAATTTGATCAATTAACATTAATGAATAAATTTTAAAAAATCTTTAGAATTTCAGTTGTTCCATAATTATAGGACCTTACCTTAATTATTATACTTTCGCAAAGTGCGACTAAATGAATTTGATCTAATTTAGACTTGTGTTCGTCTGGAATATCTTCCAAAGAAAAGTAAATCATGAACATTTTGTGTTTATCTTTTTTGGCGCCGATGGGATTCGTTAAGCCTATTTCGTCGGCATACAATTGTATGAGCATACTATCATCATCAGTTCTAAATCCATAATTACTATCACGAAAAGAAAACATTATATCTTCATCTTTAAATACAGCTTCTTGTTGTTGTTTAATATTATTCAAAATCTGATCGACGGTTTCTCGATTGTGTAATATAGATATCAATGTTTGATCAATTGGAACAAAGTAACTATATTGTAAATTTTCACCTGGAGCTGATACAATTACTTCCTGTGGCGAATTATACTTAAAATATTTCTCACAGTACTTTAAGAATTGGTATTCATTATGTGTAACAGCTTCAATTGCATGGCAGACCTCTTTCATGGTGTTTCTAACAAGTCGTAATTCAATAACATCCTTGTTTACTTCAGAAGTTGTTTTCGATGATGATAATTTTGTTGTATTACTTGGATCATATCCGATAGCTTGCTGTTCCAATAGTGATTCTATGTTATTTATCAATGTGACGATATAATTAGAGATCGAATTGATGGTGGTCTTTGGAAGGCAAAATTTCTCGCGTAATTGTAACATAAAATAAGTAAATGACTTTTGAATATCTGATAAAAATGTAAGATTACTTTCTTCGTTAAAAGATAATTTCAATAAATTTTGTGGATCAGTACTTGGTGTTTTTTGATTGTTATTAAGTGCACGAGCTTCAGAGCTATCAATTGATAAATCATTATCATCGTTGTCGTTTGCATTTATTATCAAATTTTGGTTCATTGAATTTAAGTCGATATTGGAATCCATGTTCAAATGTTGATTGTTATTTGTAGAGAGTAAATAAACATTTTTTTCTTCTGACAAATGTAATTCATTTGCATGGTGTCGATAAACATGGGCCTTGTAGGCCGCATAGCTTCGATAACAAACACCACATGATGAATTTAATTCACAAGTTATATGGAAATTATGTTCATTTTGGTGAAACAAGGTTATGTGGTGAAAAAATTTTCCGAAATTTGTAAATTCACGACTGTTTTGACAAAGAGGGCAAACGAATGATGGCATAATTATCTCAATGTGAAAATAACAAGATTATTATTAAAAGAAGCTATTCAACGTATGAAATAAGTTTTTTTCTAAACGTATATATATTTCTAAACTGTTCAACAAAAGACAACTATATAATATATCAATAACAATGGTCAACAATAGACAACGATGACAAAGACCATATGGACAAAATCATGTCAACAATAGACAACAATAACAAAGACCATATAGACAAAGTTCAAGCCAACAAAAACAATGACAACCACAACATTTACTTTTCTTTAAATTTCTTTTGCTTCGCCTAGTCTTACACGTTTATCTTATTCAGGAAAATATAAACCGAAAACGAAAATGATACTAAATTATAGTAAATAAGAGTATTAAACTACACCCACACTCTACATTACTTTCTGATCTATACAAAAAAGTATATTAACCAGAATCGGTTATAAATAATGAATTCAAGTAATAAAACATACGCACATTATTTACACATAGAAAGAAAACAAAATAACTGACCTTGAAATTGAGAAATAATAAAATCATCATAAATGAACGATTTGCACCATTCAATTACTTGTTCACAAGACCAGTTCATTTTATACTTTTAAAAATAATATCTGCAAATAAAGAATGAGAAACAAGATATCAAGAAATTAAAGAATTTTCTATCACGACTATGTTGAACACAGCTATATGTATATTACATTAAATCTCAATGCATATTAGCATAAAATATTCTGAATCTCAAACAAAATGAAATCATCTGATTCATCACTTTGATGAGCTTCTGTTGCATGGTTGTTTATCTAATCACAACAATAATCAATAGATGGTGCTATCAACTGTATAATTCAATATCATCCCATGTCGAATACTAGGAAAGTCGTTAGATTTATCTCAATTTTCCTCAACGAAAGAAAGAAATCGTGTTTTTCGAACAAAACCTATCTTAATATTGCATAAAATCTAAAATATTTCAGTTGCTTTAAGATTATGTCAAAACCTCAACACATATTTTATTTTTTTATTCATCTATTATTTGTTTTTTTACTACTTCAAAGTTTTCGTTCGCTTAAATTATCAGTCAAATTTCATTTTTCTATTTAAATTAATTAAAAAGGTAAATTTAATTTGAGTAACTTCTTATTCTTTGGTTTTTTAGACAAGACAGAATAAACATAATAGTTGCTAGTTTTCTGATTGTTTTAAAATGATTATGCCATTATTGTCAATGAAATTAGCTATGCATTATACTGAAATGATCATTTTTTTTCATTATAAGAAAATTTATTTTGATCATGACAATTTACTTAAGATCTAAAAAATGAATTAATTTATCAAAAAAATATTCGACTCATAGTGCATTAAAATAAAATAAATCTATAATTTGTTTCGATTAAAATAGAATAATTTTTAAATGATTGACTTTTATTGTGAGAAAAAGTCAAACAGATAAAAGCTAATTTTAAATTAATTTATTATAAACTGGGCATTTTTTTATTCAGCGATATATTGTTTAACATTAAACTCATAATTAAAAAAGTGAAATTATTAATTATATATATTTGACCTGTATTAAATTAAAGTAAAATAAATTTATATTTATTTCGCCAAGATTTTTTTTCAAGAACACTTGGTGAATTTTAAAACTATTTTGTTTTACTTCGAAATCATTTTATATCGTGTAAATCTTATTCTGAAGAAGAACATTGAATTTGTAGTACATGAAAACTAAAATAAATTTATATTTATTCCGATTAGAACAAAATAGTTTTACGTTCACCAAGTGTTTTTGAGAAAAAATCTTAGCGAAAGAGATATAAATTTGCTTTACTTTGATCTAATACAGGTCAAATATACATAATAAATAATTTTAATTTAATTTTAAGTTTAATGTTAAAAAATAGGTTTCGTAACAAGTATTTATTTTATAATAATTTAAGCTGAAATTCATTTATATTTATTTGCTTTCACTTTTTTATACAAGAAAAAAATTAATTGAAAATATTTATCTTTTTTAAGAATATTACTTTTCATCTTTATTTAATTAATTTATTAACATCTTACATAAAATTGAATTTTAATTTAAGATTACGATAAAATCTTTTTTTTTGTATGAAAATAATTTTTTTGAATGTGTAACGATCAAAATTATCTTAATGCATACAATAATTATTTTTTTGAAATTTTTTTTGTTATTATTTTAATTGATTCCTTAGAATAAATCGTCGCAAAATATAAAACTTTAAAAAGATCTCCAAATACGAACCGAGTTATTTTTTTACGTAAAATAATTTTTTTTATTTTTCTCAATAAATTCTATATCAGAATATCAGTAACACAAATGCTATAAAAGACGATTCATATACTTCTTTTTATCCGATCGAAATTGCTGATATCAAGAATTTGGCTGATGTTCGGAAACAAAGTTAATAGAATAGTTAGTAAAGTGCATTATGATGCACTTCTCAGCACGCGTGCGTCATGCTAATGCCAAAATTTTACAATAATCAAAGAGTAGTCAACATCCAAAAGTAGAAAAGTTATTTTTTATATCATAAAACAAGAAGCTTTTCATGAAAAAGCATACTAATATCCCCTTGAACATAGAACAAAAACTTTTAATCAAAAGAAATGTTGATATATTCTCGAATATAAAATAAAACACCCTTTTCATGAGAAGGCAGAACAATAAACCCTTTTTATGAAAAGGTAGAACAATAAACACATGACCGTAGAATAATAAACCCTTTTCATGAAAAGGTAGAACGATAAACCCTTGATCGTAGAATAATAAACTCTTTTTATGAAAAGGTAGAACAATAAACCCTTGACCGTAGAATAATAAACCCTTTTTATGAAAAGGTAGAACAGTAAACCCTTGTCCGTAGAATAATAAGCCCTTTTCATGAAAAGGTAGAACAATAAACCCTTGGCCGTAGAATAATAAACCCTTTTCATGAAAAGGTAGAGCAATAAACCCTTGACCGTAGAATGATAAACCCTTTTCATGAAAAGGTAGAACAATAAACCCTTGGCGGTAGAATAATATACCCTTTTCATGAAAGGGCAGAACAATAAACCCTTGATCGTAGAATAATAAACCCTTTTCATGAAAAGGTAGAACAATAAACCCTTTTCATGAAAGGGTAGGACAATAAACTCTTGGCCGTAGACTAATAAACCCTTTTCACGAAAGCGTGGAACAATAAACCCTTCTTCACTAGTCATATACCCTTTTTATTTTCAAATACCCTTTTTCTCAGAAACCCTTTCGCACAAAAACCCTTTAAGGGTTTAATACACCAGCATAAACCCTTTAAGGGTTTAGGAAAATTTTCCTAAAGTACTAGGGTTTAGTATTCTACGAATTTTTTTTACAGTGCAGTGTTATTTGATTATGCGTAATTGACTATGAATGAAATATTTTTTTTGCTAATCGTGCCTCTATATGGTATGAATGTCGAGTAAATAGGATCCTTTATATAATGTATTTTGTGATTGGTCGCAAATATGTCGAATGGATTGAAAAGAAAGAGACAAAGAAGTCGTTGTTCGGAGAACTGTAAAAGAAGTTTTACGTGTAGGGGTAGAGGAGAGGGGTAGTTATACAAAATTGGGATTCGAATGGTGATAGCTGAAGAATATTGCTTATCCTCATGTAAGCTACTGTCATCGTATTGTTTTGTATATCACGCGCTGTGGTGGATGTAGTTATTGATGGTAGAAACAAAAAATGTTGTCAATGTTGTAGTTCTTACTAATCATTTTGAGATTTATTTTCGTAGAAGAATGATGATAAAAGAAGGTGGGAAGTCTTTTTTGACTTGTGAAAATGGCGATTAGATTTTGTTTTATAGGAAAATTATTCAGGATTTTTTGAATTCTTGTTAGGAAAATGATAGCATATATTAGGACAAGCGTTCAAGTTTCTGTGATGCGTTAGTGATATTTCATGTTTAGGTAATCATTTGTAATTTTTGAGAAACACGTGAGTTTAGAATGAGCTACGAGGAAATTGATCTTGTTTTTGTCATGTCTGACAAGAAAAAGTCTCAATTTGGATTAGTCCGGGTAAAAGTGTGGTTTCTATATCTCTTCAATATGATAGTGATCGATATTGACTGAGTCTTCCTTTGAAGGACAGTTGTGATAAACACATTTCGATATCGATTGAATAGGAGGCTAGATGATGAAAACCGTGAGAAACCTAAGAAGACTGAACGAATACTGTACTTGTTAAAGAATTCTTGAGAAACTGAGTACAAAAAAGGATGGCCGAAACTTCAAGTGGAAAACTGAAATAAGTTACACAGGTACAAATTAAGAAAAAGAATAGTAGTGCAGATAGGATAGTCCTATGTTGGCGACAATTATTATAATACTTTAAATATTGTTCAAATAGGTTCTGGAGTGCTCTGGTAGTTGGTGCTGTACTATCTCAGTAAGAATGTTTTAGTATGATAAATTTTCACAAGAAGAAAAATAAGGACATTTAACCTTGAATCCTATGATTATATAAGAAAAAGAAACAACATTTGTAACCATCTGGAGATATTTGAGAAATTTCTGCCTGTCAGGTTTTTTGTGCATGTATTGAAGTTATTATGTTTGAAACAAAATTTTTTCGGATTAGTTATGGTATTAATGAATTTTCACTGGTCTGATTTTCATCGATTCATCTCGTCGGTGACATTTCGATCTTTGAAATATTAGTTAAACCTCTGTTTTCGTAATCATTTATACTGAAGTTTGATGATTAATTATATTCTATAGAGTTTACATTCTAATGTAGTTTTTGTTCTATAAAGAAACAATGCTGGTTTAATATGTATGAATAGATCATATATAGATAAAGGTGGCCGGAACGGGAGAAGAGAAAAATAAATAGTTTACATAGAAAAGAACACTAAAAAAAATACTAGTAACTGATATATGGAAAAAGAATAATATCTTTCATACTATAGTAGTGAGAGTTGAATTGACTCGAATCCGGTTTCATAACTCTAAAAAGTAAGGAAATCGAATGGATTCGAATAAATAGAGATCCAATTATTCTTTTTGTTTACTGGATTACAAAACACTGAAAAAATTAGAAGAGATTGAAGTATATTTAAGCAAAGATTAACAAGTAAGAACAAAAAGATAGAGAATGTTTCATAGAAAAGAAAAATAGAATAAAACACCAATAAATATTTTAGAGTTCCATGCTGACTGACAGACCTCATTATCCTGTTTGGTACAATAGAACTTTATTAATTGATCAGAAAAGACTAAAATCAATGTGAATCCATCTTTAAAGCGAAAAGATTCTGGTTTCAATCAGAAATAAGTAACACCAATTTAATCGATTTTCATTCAAAAAATAATCGGTTTTATTCTGATTTCTCGTAAAAACTTTTACATGAGTAATTGTGCTCGCAACTGATAACAATCAGAAATCTTTATTACATGAATGTTTTGGAAATTTCATTTAGCCAACAAATAAAATCAGAGGATTTATTTGGTTCAACGATATTCCTCATATACACACAAGATCGTGTACACTATCAACTACATTAAGTGGCATAGATTTTACTGAAGTAGAATCGAGGT